AACATTTGTAAATTCAATGCACCAGGCCTGCAGGAAAGTATCTGGGGGCTATAAATTGAACCATGAAACAAAAACTATAAATCAGCACCATATACCTGAAAATTAAGAAATGTTTTATCTTTGAGGAAAAAAAAAGGGACAAACAAAGTAGAAATCTGAAGATATTGAAAGCACCCCAGGAAAGCATTTTTATGACAATGAAAAACAATAATTACCAAAACCATACAGGAAACATCATACATGAATTTTTACATGTATTTATTTTAAGATCATGAGAAAAAATGAACACACACTGTCATCACAACTAAACAACAAATTACTAGGCTCGCCAAAGCAGTTGAGCAAAAATTATAAAAAAGTAAGGGGTTAGTTCCTGCACCTGGACCAGTGAGCGAGATGCTCAGATATGATACCTACTGCCTGCCAGGACCTGACCAAGACTGTGGAAAAAGCTGCTGGACACTGGAAAATTGATTGTACCCCTTTGCTTAGGCAAAACAAGGTCAGTCTTTTCCACTGTCTGTCCCTCTTCCACAGAGAGAAAAAAAACTCTCACCTTATAGGCCTGGCAAAGATTGCTGTTCTTTGAGACATCTACCTCCAGCGATAATGGAGAGACTTGGGTATGGCTAGCTGTATATGGACTGGCTTCTAACTGGCTTCTGTCACTTTTTAGTAGATTTGGATAAAATATACCCTTCTCAGATCTCTGAAATATTAATGGTTGTCAACTTGACAGCATCAGACAGTCAGATCCACTATAGACTATAGTCAGTATGTTAGCTGATAAAGTAATGACTATCTACTGTTCAGGCACAAGCTCGAGTGACTAAGACTAAGAGGTTAGATGCCTGCCTCGTGGCAAAGAACCAGTCAGAAGTTAGCTGGTGGTGCTATGCTTTACGGCTCTGGGTGTGTTTTATGGACAAGTCCACAGCAATGACACACAGAGCATAGCAACCACCCTGGGAGGGCCTATGGGCCATAACAACCAGTTGACCAATCAATACAGGGCAAACCCTCCAAGCCTGGAGGCACACCAATCCTGAGCCTGTATGTACCCCTAGACACTCCCCTTATGCTGCCTTATAAGATCTCTATGCAGATGCTTCGAGCTGTCTTTTCTAGCCATCCACCATGGTGGGTGGATGAAAGACCCAAGCTAACATGGGGTTAGCTCGTTAAACAACTGCAATAAAACCTCATGCTGTTTGCATCAAAAAAAAAAATGTAAGGGGTTGAAAACACACAATAATTATCACCAGAGAACAATGGGATTGTGGAGCATTCATGTAGCTGCAGTAACCCAAGGAATGCACCATCTATCATTATTATCAAAAACTAACAAGGAAATGGATATGAAATCAGATAAAAATACTATAATAATGAGACCCTTAAATATTAAAGAATTGTTCTAAAGAAAAGCATGAAAGATCTTTCCAGAGGAAATCCTAAAATGCTACCAAAATATTTTATAACAGATCTGCATATATGGAAAGATTTACCATCTTCATGTACAGTCATAATATTCTAAAGGAGAAAACTTCTCAAAACTGGATTGTGTTAGCAAGTTAATTCAGAGAAATTTGACCTTATAAAGTCAGAAGTATGAGAGAGAGACAGAGAGAGAGATCTACTATATCTATCTATGGGAGACTGGTTCCCAGTTGTAATCTTGGATATCAAATCCATAGTTGCTCAAGTTGTCTTCAAAAGATTGCATACTATTGACATCCAACCTACATACATCTCTCTATAGCTAGCTTGAATCATCTATAGATAACTTACAACACCAACACAATATAAAAACTATGTGCATACACTGTGTTGTTTAAGAGGAAATGATCCCAATTTTTAATTATTATTCTGTACAGGTGCACCATCATGGGCCTTATGCTACAGCTTATAAAAGAGGCACAAAGAATAATTTTAAAGCAGTGGCTGTTAGAAAAGGCTGTGGCTTCAATGAGAGGATGGGACAGACTTAGTAGACTTCCTAGACGGAGGCTTACCCTCTCAGAGGAGGAGAGGGGACATGGGGGCAGAGGGGGGAGTGGGTGGAGGGGAGGGAGGGGTAACTGGGATTGGAATGTAAAAAATAAATTAATAAATAATTAAGTAATAAAAAAAGAAAAGAAAAATGCTGTGGCTACCTCAGAGGTGCTACAGACCAGGGCATTTGAGTAGAGTCAGCAGTGTGCAGAATGTAGAACATTTAAGTTTCACTGTTTGGAATTTTAAAAAATATTTTCCATCCACAGTTGATTAAATCTTCTGTTGAATGAGTTTACAATGCTTCTACAGAACAGGGGAAACAATCGAAGAGAGAGGCAGGAAAACATCTGATAACTACACACGTGACAACATAAAAAGCCAAAACACTAAATACTAGGAAATCAAACAACCTAATCAATGAAGGAGTTAATGAACAAGCAATTTTCAAAATATAAAGTATGAATGGCCAACAAACATGTCAGAAATGTTCAACATCATTACCCACAGAGAAATGCAAATCAAAACTACATTGAGATTCTACCTCACCCCAGTCATAATGGCAATCGTTAAGGAAACAAACAACAGCAAATGATGGCAATGGTGTGGAGAAAAGTGAACCCTTATGCACTGCTGGTGGGAGTGTAAATTAGTGTGGCCACCATGGAAATTAGCATGGAGGTTCCTCAACCAAACTAAAAATAGATCTACCATATGCCAGCTACAGCACTCCTGGGTATCAAAGGCCTCCAAGTCATCATAGCATGAAGATACCTGCACATTGGTGTTTACTGAAGGACTGTTCACAGCAACTAGATTACAAAACCAACCTAGGTGCCTGTCAACAAAACAATGGATAAAGAAAGCTTGCTAATATTGCACACTTGATTTATAAAGCCACCAACAAAGAAAGATATGTCATTTGCAGGAAAATGGGTGCGACTAAAGATCCTTGTATTAAATTAATTCAGTCTCAAAAAGATACATATTGTAGATTTTCTCTCATTTTGGGAAATCCCAGATTTTATGTATATACATAAAAATCATGGTCTATGCATTTATGACCATGAAAATAAAAGTGAACCTGCCTAGGGAAATGAAGGAAAAGAGTAAAAAGAGGGAGCAAAAGAGGAGGGTAGAGGGTAATGGGGGAACATCGTCAAAGTACATTATATACTTGTTCGGAAATGTTTCTATAAAGCCCTATACTAATAAAATATAGAACCCCCAGATGCGGGATACCAATATGTTTGTGAATGTGAGTAGATCATTAAGAAACAGAGCATCATGTGGATAAAGGAAGAAATAAAACAAAATGTTGGTGCAGCACCATCTTAGAAAAATGGTATTTGGAGAGTAAAAACTGAAGGTAGGAAAGAGGCTGTAGAACAACTGGGGCTTAATTTTCTATTAGAAGCTGCTAGAACAATGAGAACAATATGAAAGAAACCCTATAAAAGGTGCTGGTTCAAAACAACTGCTTTCAAATTAATTTTCTTTTCAAACACATCTCTAAGTAACTTCCGTCAAGATAAGCATTCATGTTGAAGGAGAAAAGTATTTTGCTTTGCCTTTCAAATTTTCTAGACATGAAGGGGTAGAGACTTTTTTATACTGGCAGATCCCTCCAGCACTCTCTCTTGCCCTTTGTGAAGGCAGATTGTAGGGAAAAGATCCAGTTACATCTCTTGGCCTTTCTGTAATCATTCCTGTTTAAGAGAGATCAGCATGAGAACATATCAATAAAATAATTTCATAAAAGCTAATGTGAAATCTCCATATACTGTATAAATACAGTAGCCCCAAATTTTTTAATACAGATATTTTATGAATGTGAAACATCTTTGCTAGAATTGTTGTTTTGATTGTTATTTCAATCAAACCCTAATGTATTTTTTTAAAGCTGCCCTACCAGCAACAGATATGGGTGTGGTAAAATCATTTTTTAGAAAATAAATTTAAGCTTCCCTAGGGCCAATGAACAAGGTGACTCAGCGGATAAGGGCCTATCTGTGAAAACCTATCAATCTAAGTTTGATCCCTGGAATGCACATAAAACTACATGCAGAGAACTGACTCCAAAAAATTGTCTTCTGACCTCCACATACACATACCATGGCATGTACACATACACAAGCATACACACATGCCAGTGTGTCCGCACACACATACAGAGAGACACACACACATCATGACAACACATGAACACACAAAAATTAATAACAAGAAATAAATAAATAGAGTCACCAAAAAGTGCTGCCCTAATCTTCAATTATGAGGGTCAGTTCTTTCTCAAAGGCTCTAACCATTAGAACATATGGATTAAGGGAAATGTAGCAAACATCTAAAAAAAATCAAATAGACAAGCAAACAAACAAAAACAAATACAAATCCTAAGTTTCTTCCTGGTAAATGAATATAGAAAGTTACAAATTATAACTGACACTCAATAATAATTAACACCTCTATTTGTAACAAGGACAAAAAAAAAACCTATGCTACCACAAGAAAAAAAACCAGCCTAAAATCAAATGATTTCAATATTTCTACCTAGGTGTCAAAGCAGTAACCTGGAAGATGCATCTCAACATCTAAGGGTTTCTGGTGGTGAATTATAAAACAGGGCTGGGCCTCCAGCTCAGTGGTAGAGTGCTTACATAGCATGCAGGAGGCACTGGGTCCATTTCCTGGAGCTATGGAAATAAGCAGATAATTATTGAAGTCTGTCTTCAACTATGATGCCTTCCCGACAATAAACCCAAAGCAACCAAGCTCATGAACAGTAGCAGCAGCTGAGGGCAGAGGACAGTGACCTCAGTCTGTTCCTCTCAGCCACAGTAAGCGAGGAATGTTCTCCTATTCTGCTGTGAAGTAGAAAACTATTGATTGAATTTGAGACTCTGAAATTCATCTCTTACTGAGAAACATTATAGAATTATAGATCATTATAGAATTTGTTTTACCCATGCAATAAATCTATTGAGTAATGAGATAAAGCATCCACTCACCAATATAGAGAAATATTTCCTCACACAGTCATACCAAATAAATTATTCACCTCCTACAATATTCCACAAAATGTGATGCAAATAGATTTTTTCGAAATGCAGTATTTGTGCACGCAGGAATGAATGTTTATAAAATCTTAATGTCTGTCAGTTTTTTTGAGAACTATGACTTATGCATGACTCAAGTCCGGCATGGCATTGGTTGTAAGAATTCAGCCGGTTCAAGCAAGCATTTTTTAAAGTGCAAAAAATAGCTTTACTTTTAAAAGATAAACAAAACCTAATATTAAGTTCCTTTTGTGTATTTAGTTGACATATCATGCCTTTGTCACCAACAAAAGATGTAAGTGTTCTTTTATCTTTAAAGTTTGTTAAACATCTAGAACAATCTCACATTTCTACAAAGTGTTTAATAACCCTGAGGTAGATATAATTGCCCCCTCTTAAAAATTAAAAAACACAAGACTTTCAAGATGGTAAAGGCACTTGTTGCCAAGCCTGATGACTTGGATTTGATTCCTGGTAGAAGAATCAAATCAACTCCTGAAGGTCATCCCCTGACCACCATAAACGTGCAGTCATATGCATACACTCTCATACAAATATTTTGCACAAAATAAATAAATTAAAAATATATCTTTAAAATTAGAAACTCCAGTGTAGCTAGTACACTGCAAACTGTGGAGCTAAGATTTGAAACCAGCTTCACTCAACTCCATGTATCCTGTTTTTCCCATTTAAAATCAGCTAATGTGTCGCCCAGTGTCTTAGCTCACAGAAAAACATAAAGAAATTAAATTATTTCATTGGTTTCATTAGATAAAAAGAAAACGTGTCTATGACAATGAGCTATTGAATAGGTCCCCAAGAGACCATGGAAATGCCACAAATTTTGGATGTAAAAAACAAATCAGCCAAATTCTCTCCCCTGATAATGAGATTGGTGACTGACTTATATACCATCCTATAGCCTTCACCCAGCAGCTGGTGGAAGTAGAAGCAGACACCCACAGCTAAAAACTGAACTGAACTGGAATCCAGTTGCAGAGAAGGAGGAGTGATGAGCAAAGGGGTCAAGACCAGGATGGTGAAACCCACAGAAACAGCTGACCTGAACATCGGGGAACTCTTGATCCCCAGACTGATAGCTGGGAAGCCAGCATGGGACTGATCCAGACCCCATGAACGTGGGTGTCAGTGAAGAGACCTCGGAAATCTATGGGGCCTTTTGTAGTAGTTCAGTACTTATCCCTCGTATAGGAATAGACTTTGGGAGCCCATTCCACATAGAGGGATACTCCCTGAGCCTAGACACAAGGGGGTTGGCCTAGGCCCTATCCCAAAGGACATGACAGACTCTGAAGACCCCTATGGATGGCCTCACCTTCCCTGGGGAGCAGAAAAGGTATAGGATAGTTAGGGTGCTAGTTGGTCGGGGGAGGCAGAGGGAACTGGTATTGACATGTAAAATAATCTTGTTTCTAACTAAAATAAAAAAATAGAGAGAAAAAAACAGCCTCAGTTTCCTTTTTATTCATTTCACTGATAGACCAAGACATATTTTGTTGCAATAAGGGAAGTAAATAATTATGTGCCAAAACTCATATTCTTGTTCATAAAAGAAAAATACCACAGTGTAGACATATGTAGCATGGTACACTGCATACCACATTTGTGGTAATGATGGAGAGGGAGAGGAGAACAGCTGGACATAACCTTGGCAGCTGACAGCACATATTGTACTATAGTCCAAGGACATCCTACTGGAGTCTTCTAACTGTACTAGTGCAGTGGCTTTGAACTCATAACACGGAGTTGGGACTCTGTTACATGACCTTACACAGGTTATTTCACCCTCTCTTACATTCAAATTCCTTCATCTGGAAAAGAAAGATAATTATATCTGCCTGGCAGGGGATTGTGAGAGCTTAATGAGCTCCTGGACCAAGGTAATGGTTGAATAAGCATTAGTCATTCTTGTCATCTTAACTCTATATGCCTTTTCTGCTATTTGTCCTCTGAAAAAATTTCCTTCTGTGTTCTCAGGAGATTCCCCCAAAGGATACTGACCTGTAGGCATGAGGGCTGTGAACATCTTCACCCCTCTGTGTCCTTTAAGATTTGTTGGAGAAGCACACATAGTTCCCACAACAGCTATGAGCTCTAGGCCAACCAAACCAGGGCTCTTCTGAGAAGTGGCTAGCGACAGCTTCACACATCATTGGCTCTGCACCCAATGGTGCCCTTTTGATTATTTCATAGGAAGCAAGGAAATCATCGCACCAAGTCAATAGGGTTATGTGCAGAAATCCAAAGACATGCACACAGGGGAGAAATAAACATGGGTTACATGCCCTTATTGTGAATTACAGATCAAAGCTAATTCAATTTTGAAGCTTAATTGTTTTGAGAGGAGAATCAGAAAAATTTATTACTTGTGGGCCCCGAGGAGAAAAATCACCATGGGTCTGAGCAATTGCACATGGGTTTCTACATCTATAGTCGTAACATTATTGCTAAACCATCTTCATTGGTGGCTTAAACTACTAAGAGCCAATAAAGGGCCGATGTAATTTCATAAAGGGAACTCCCTCTCTGTGGCTGGTCAGTAGAGAACTTTACAGAAGCAGATACTAGATCAATGGTTAGAGCATTCTCCTCTCCAAGGACAATCCTAGATGACTGAAGCTTAATTTTTTTCATTGTTCTATTTACAAATATTCAACTGGATGGGCAGAAACAGTTATGACTATTTATCCTGATAAAGCATCTCTTTTGTGATGTCATTTCATTTACATTAACAGACTGGGTATTTATGCATGTTTTTGGTAAACATTTATACAAGATAGCCTAAAAAGCCTTCAGAAGACAGTGACATTTGGACTTCGGTTTGTCAAAGAAGTCTTTGACGAGCTGAAAGGGAATTTCATCTGACTACTGGAATTCTGAATGAAGTGGTGAAGGTTGTGTAGCTGAGTGGGCTACAATGGTAAAATGAAGCATGCTTTGATATAACAGATGAGCCACAAGTGGGCATTTCTCAAGATCACCAAGGAAGCAGGCAGGCGCTAAAGAAGCAAACAATGAAACATAGAAAGAAGATGAGGACCAGAGAGGTACCAAGGTGGTGATCAAAAGGCAATGTGTGCTGCCTTGGGAATGCTATAAGGAAAAGGACACATCTTAGGAAGCATTAAACCAAAGCTAAACCGGTCCTCAATAAATAACTGGTACCTCTCCTCAGCTCTCACATCTGGCATCATGAGATGCTCAGACAAGGCATTAAAGGTAACTTTTACTGAGAGGTTGCTATGTGCCAGGCATCCTGCCAGGCATCTTACGGCTTTCTCCATCTTTTGAGATGGAAGCCATTAGTGTTTCCATTTACTGTAGTGTAAATGTGTATCTCTGTCTTTGTCTCTGGATTAGCTTCCTATGGAAAACTAAAGCACTGAGAAATTAAATGACCTGCCTAAGAATGTGTAGGAAAATCAATGGAGGTGTCCAGATGAACTAGGCAGCATGACTCAGAATATCTGTGGGTTTCTGAAGGGACAATGAAAAAAGATGCCGAAGTGTTAGGAAAATATAATATTGTTTAGCTGGACCTTTGCAATAAGGGAGAAAAAAATGTATGTAATTGTTTCCAAACCAAAGTTTTTGCAGAGCTTATGTGGGAGGAGAAAGGTGAAGATAAGAGTGTCGATGTATGATGGACTTTCCTGACTTTGTGGTACTGTCTTCCTTTCCTTTATATCTTTGAGTTTCTTCATAGCAGTGGTGGCCATGCACCACACTACGTGGAGTCCAGAGGACAAGCTCAGGTATGGATCCCTGGGCGCCCAATTCTGTTTGACATATAGACTCTCATTAGCCTGGAACATGCACCAAGCAGGATTGCCTGTCTCTACTTTTCATCTTGCCATCTTTGAGATTAGAGGTACACTGTTTGTTTATTTTGCTTTTTGAAACAGGATTTCACTGTATAGCTTTGGCTGTCATGGAGTTCTCTCTGTAGACCAGGCTGGCCTTGAACTCATAGAGATCTGCCTGTCTTTGCCTTCCGAGATTAAAGGCAAGCACCACCACCACCTGTAGAGGTGAACTTTTTAATGTTAGTTTTGGTAATCTAATCTCAGGTTCTCGTTCTCAGGCAAGGCAATACTTTGCCTTAGCCCCTTTATTTTTATTTTGTTGTTGTTGGGGGAAAATATTTGTTGGTTTGTCTTGTTTTGGTTTTTTAGAGTTTGGGGTTTAATGTTTGTTTGTTTTCTCAGACATGGCCTTGCTATGTGGTAGTCCTGGCTATCCTTGTGTTTACTACACTGACTGGCCTAGCCTCAAACACACAACATGCTTCCTGCCTCAGCTTCTCAAGTTCCGGGATCACATTTGCGAGCTACCACACCTGGCCATCTTTCCTTGCTGTACATAATATGAAATAAAATTTCTAACTACTCTAATCATTTTAAAGTATTATTTTTAATTGATACATAATTTACCTGTCCAGAGAGTATAGTGTGACATTTGAACACATGTGTATATCGTACAAGGATGAGATTAATCCCAAAAGCATTTTTAGCTGGTTATCTTTAAATAACAGATTACCAGTCAGCGAAAAATAATCAGACAGAATAATCAGCTTGGTAGCTATTGTGAAGCAGTTACTCTTTGGGTGGTCATATCTGTCATTCCTTCCCTGTAAGTCATGGCTGAATTCGTATTGGAATATTTGCAAAGCAACATAAGATATTTCATAATACAATATCTGGTCTTCTATACAGAAAAAGGAATGAGGAAAGAGGAAGGGAGAAAGAGAAGGAGGGGGAAGGGGAAAAGGAGAGAGGGAAGGGAAATAGGAAGGATGGGTATTTAGTTTAATATAAAAGACAAGGAGAGAAAATGAATGCTTTAAATTTTGCACGTTCTTATTTTATTATGAAACACATATCTCCAAATGCAAGATCTGGAATCATAATATCACTGTCTTTCTTGAGGTAAAAAAAAAAATGGATTCAAATGAAAAACACACTGGCACTTCCAAATGGACTCAAGTAAGCGAGCCAAGAAGAAGACTGTTTTCCTCGTGATTAATTTAAAGAGAAGGTCGGTTCCAGCAGGGAAA